AGGCATAATGGCAAGTTAGTCTCTCACTTGACATAGTGGTTCGGGGTTCGGTGCTCAAGTGGGGTTCACAAATATGTATACAACAGATTTCTCTCGTAGTGTTCGGTTTTTGTCATAGCTTCGGGTTCCCTTAGGTTTGAGTTTGGAGACTACAATCTGAAATCGGATTCTCTATAAAGGTTCTCTATAGTCTATACTATAGGATAAAGATCCCTCTGTTTAGCTCCAGGATTGTTACCACAGCTCATTCATAAATTAAAATTAACAGAATTATGTGTTGTTAAGAGCAAATATCTTGAACAGCTGGTCCAATTCTGCCATTTTTGTCCAAATATACCTACGTTAAAATCCGAGGAAGGTTCTTATGAAGAAAATAATTGGAAAAGTTTCCCGGAAACATTTAAAATACGACAAAAATTGAATACGTCCTTTTTCTAATGAATATGAATGTCTATGGACATGTTTTAATGACAGAGAGCAATAAGTAGCTTCTGTTGGGTAAATACATTGAAGTAATATTACTGGTAAATATTAACAAAGCGAATACCTACCTAATACCTATCCTCAATAACTTTTATGAAAAATCTACGAATATTTTTTTGCGGCTGCTGGAAAAATAGGTATCTACTATACTTACCTAGTCAAAATAAAAAACATTACGAAATTAATTATTACATACTCGTAGATAGACGGTCTGTGTTCTGCAATGATGTTCAAAACTGGATTCAAACTCTAGCATACATTATGATGTCCTGTAATAGGCTAGTTGCCTAAAAAAATTTTTTTAGTCCGTAATGTTTAATATCAAAAAATATTGGACACATATATTTTTATTTGTCAATCTAACAAATAATTACATAGTNTGTCCTGTAATTGGTTTGAAATCAAGGACTTGCAGTTTTGTAACAGGACCTAAATAGTTTTATCTCGCTTTTCATAACACCAGCCAGTGAAATCTTATGGGCTCATAACTAATCGACACATAAACCCACAGAAAGGAGCCAGTAAAAACTTGAATAAAAAGGTTTCAAGAGTAAAAAATCCTTCTGCAATCGAATAATGATCTCGGAGTTATATATCACTAACATTACAAATGAAATGGGAAATCTAAAACTATAACTTCCCCTTTCCACAAGTGTCGTCATCTTACAATGTCGCTAATAAATGTCTGAAAGTTTTGCTTACGTTCCACGTGAGCGCGCTCATGTCGATTTGGAATGCGGTATAATTGCATGGGTATGCGTTTTTCTAAGCTAGACATTTTTTCTGAATAGGTATCGCTGCAGCGAGGGAGGTAGGGGGAGTGACGGTAGCGAAAACAAAGTGTAGGCAGTGGGGTAAGCTCCTCGCATGACGCCCGGACCCACAGAGCTATGTATGTCTGTGTATAGAGCAGCGTTGACGATTTCCATCGTAGATGTCTATCTACCATAGTACCTATCCTATATTCAATGCTGAAGTAGGTTTCTGTATCGTGCCGATGAATATCATTACCCTCGTTCTCTTTTGAAAAGCCTGCTAGTATTTTTGCGGCTTTCTAATTTAGGTTATGGGTATAGTTAAAGGTAGCAAGGGTTGTGCTGAATTGCATAGCACTTGCATACATAAAATTACGTTAATATTATGATTTAATATATTAAATATGATGTTACGACGCAGCGCATCTCCCGTATAGTCACACCGTGAGTAACTAAGTTAAACAATAAGTAATACAGAAGTACTAAATTCTGATGACTATCCTTATGGAAATGTTTTCCAATTGAAAAATAGACGTTCAGTCTTTCCCCAATTGATAAAAACTTCCATTTTTGTTCGTTTAAGAACCTTCCAAGGACTTCAACGAGTAACGGTATTATAAAAAATAATAACTTATTATCAATGCTGTTTTCAAACGTAATTTAAAGAATTTTTTATTAAACGAACGATGTCCGTTGCCTGAGTAGTTGTAGTTCTGTATCTCTTTCCTCTATTGCATAAATATAACTTTCTGATCACACATATACAAACCGCATACACCTAGCACACACACTAAAAATTATATGTACCTAATTGTTTAAGTTTTGTGAATTGTTAAGTTTATATTACCTATTTATTATTTAAAATAAAAATGCCAGTGTTTATGGCGTCCAATGTGACGCTCTTTTAAAAATGGCCTCCGCAGAATAACAGCGTCCTGTTCTGGGGTCTACCTCAGTCTGAGGTCCTCAGAGCAGGACACAATGCTGAGCGGATGCCATTTTGGTTCAAACATGTACAAATACTTTGAACTGTAAAATTGTAATAATTGTTTTGGACCAAATAAAAATTTTTCTTTCTTTCTTTCTTTCTTTCTTTATTATTAGTCCTGTTGTTCTCGTGTTGTGCGCTTAACAACACAACACCGATATATTTTTGTTACACAGATATTGTTGGATATTTCATTTTATCCTTTTACCGTTGGGTAGAACCCTGGATAACGTTCAAAGGCGTGGCAACTGGGTTCGACATAATGAGTTGTATAATAAAAAAAATCGATAAGAACTTTACGTAAACTTTTGTGCAATTGTTTTATGAAAAGAAATGTCTCGGTTTTTCTGATTAAATCGAAAGTCAATTTCTCATTCCTCTTTTACACCTTTAATAATAAAAGCTCAAAGTTTGTTTGGTTGAACGCGCTAATCTCAGGGTCTTCTGGTCCGATTTGGAAATATTTTTGTGTGTTGGATAACCCATTTGTCCAGGAAGGCTACATCATCACGCTACGATAAAGAAAAATGTTGCGAAAACGGGAAAAAATATTCAAGCGGTTTTCACGCGGAGTCGTAGGCACAGCTAGTATAAGATGAAATTGACATCAGATATCAATATAGGTAAAACGATGTAGGTCATAAGGGTAGAACAGACATATTATGACATCGGAGAATAATGCCACGTTCATTACTGACATGGTGCGTCTACCGGAGCCTCCTCTGCGATGGCACGGTTTAATTAGATCGGTCCGCCGATCGGTCGATCCGCCAGTCGAGTCGAGTCTACCCTCAATTTATAAAGCCCAATCTAACTACATTGTTGTATGGTGTTAATAATTTTTTTTTATCAGCCACTTCACATGTTTATTACAGCGCTTATACAAAATGGTGTAAGTCTGTTTCATAATATGGCTATACCTATAGGTAATTAGTAAGTACCTAAGCACTTGTCTTTACACGAATAATAAAAAAGTAAAGTCGTTTGTGTGGTGGTAAAGTGTAGGTAAAGGATCAGAATGGAAACGATATAGGTACTACTTAAGGTAGAGATATTAATAAGTAAAGCTTAGTTAGCAGGATCTATGTATAATCGCAAAAACATAAGTATGTACATTGCTTTACATCTACTTACAACATAGTATAATGATGATATACACTTTACGTATGCACTTTACCTAATAGAACCACCCTTTTTTGGAATGAAAACTATAGAGAATTACCGTAGGTAATAGCTACTGCGTATATTATGTAGGTAGCCTAGCTCTTCTACTGTACCTACCTAGCTGAGCTCACAGTAAATAATATGGCGTAATATTGTGGAAGCTTCGATCAATAAATCATTCAATTAATCATGGGCTAGGTACGGGCTTCGCTATATTTAGTCCTGTGAGGTAAGTTAACACGCTTGACTTACAAAACGTATGGTAATACAACTGACCAAGTTTATGGAACTATTCATACCTTATATTTGGTTTTCAACCTAGGATTAGATTCAAAACATATCGCATGTGATTGAAAGACAGGAAAAACATACAAGCCAGCGGTAGTCACTAAAATCGCTTTTATTGCAGTTCAGTAGACTTTACTCAAATTCTATTTAATTAATACCAATCATTTATATAGTGTGTCTGATAAAAAGAACACCTTTAACTATATCTAATGTATTTCAATCAATTTGTATATTTTACATAGCTGTGGAGACTTACAAAATATTGTAAGAGTCACGATCATACAATAAAGTTTCGTGTAAAAGCTCTATCAAAATGATTATTTTGTTTTACGTCTCCAGGTCACAAAATCTGCTTCGAACCTCAATTTTTTTTACTGTGAAATCTACTTTCCTTTAATGGGAAAGCGATATTAAGGGTATAATAATGTTTTTATTTGAGATTTCAATAAAAATCAGGCCAGGTTTTATTATTATCGCTCTACTGAATTACCTACTCCCATCGAATTCTAATATAGAGCCCTCTAGCGAATACTTTGGGGCTTACTAACTCTACTCGATCGGCAATATGTTGACTCTGTGTCCACGATGGAACTAGTTTCGCAGGCGTGAGGTTAGATGGAATTCCTTACCATAAAATGTGTGATTAGGTTTAACTAATCACAAAATAACACAATTTCTTTGCAGTTAGAGCTTTAAAAAGCTCTTTTATTGTCCATTGGTTTACTGCATATTGAGAATAACTTAGTCACATTGACTCTACAATATTAATAACCTCCATATAATATCCATCTATCCATATCCATTATAATTTTATCCGTTATATTGGTAATAAAAACACAGTAGAAAGGAAACACACGTTGTTAGTAATCTAATTATGCTAAAATAACTAACAAATCCTTCTTGCTGCTATTGTTATGATTTAAGTAGTGAAGCCATCTTTTACTGTAGTTTAACTACATATCCTTAAATAATTTGTTCATAGGATTCATACTACACTTTACTTTAGAACATTTTTAATCGAACTTCATTAATTAAAACAAATATTTTACTTCGATACTTTATTTAAGTGTTAAAATAAATTGTAAAATTAATTTATAACTAACAATCACATTTACTTTGGCTTATCTTGTTAAAATCTAATGTTTTACTTACACACTAAAATTGAATGCCGTAATATCTAGTACTTATGTACGTTTTGGAACAGAATAGTTTCTATTCAATCTACTATTTTCAAGAAATTTTTTAGGTATACACAAAATGTTAAATACTAAGCAATTGTTACAATTATTACAGGATATAGTCAATATCTATGAGAATTGTTATAAGATTTAAGTAGGATAAATTATTTTTACTACTATTAGTACTTATTTGTATTTAATACTTATCAAACCCAGGAATACAATAATACTCGTAAATTCATAAATTACAGTACTTATCCAGACTATCTTCATACTTCAGACGAATTTATATGGACGTATAATATTAATCAGATAGAATTAAAACTATTCACACTCACGCTCACACGTTTTCTATCAAAAATCACACATTTCTACACTTTATAGTAAGTTTCTATTATACTTAGGACGCTATCTAATTTTATTTGGCACATGGAATCATCGAACTCTCTACTTTTGTAGAGAGCGTAAACATATTTACAGATACTAAAAACAAAATAAATAAATAAATTGAGCTCGTTATTATCTAACTGTACTCATATTAACCTATTCTAATACGCTGTTATCATCAGTATTAATTGAATAAATAAGAATGAAGATACTTCTTATTGTAGAAATAATACAAATAATTAAAAGAATTATATTAACTCTAAGTAAATGCTGCCCTAAAATTATAGCCATTAATGTTTAATTACATATTATAAAGTTTAACTTACGTAGTTTAATATTTATGTTGAGTTTATGACTTATTTAAAATGCCATTACAGGTGTTTAGATATTTTGAGCTGAAAACTTAACTAGTTTATGTTTAGCTTTAGTAATAAAATTATGGTAAAATAACCATGTTCATCTAACTAATGACTAGGGATGTCCATATTGGATATGGAGTTTACAAAACACACAATTCACGCATATAAAACTCTAAAGAATAGATTATGAATAGAAGATGATTTGATGAAAACTTTAATGAATAATCTTCATGAAAAATTTTACACACATTATTTTCTACACAATCACGACTGACGCCATGGTGACCGAGTAAGATATTGACAAGCAGAGCTTTGCTATTAAGAATGCTCAAAAAGAGTAAAACGTGCGTTCAGCACGATAAATTTAAGCTATACAAACCTATTTTACAGTGAGCAATTTCTAATCACTACGACAGGAGCTAAAATATACTTATCTTAAACGCAATAGGGTTTTTCCGTTGCTTCTTATCCTATTCTACGTTTCTTTTTTTTATCTTCACCTTTTTTGTATTTACAAGAATCTTAAAATTACTGGTTTGTGTTATAAATATGTGTGTTTTTTATCGACCCACAGCTCAGGTTTGTGGTTCGATTTTGATGGGCGGGTCTCAAGACGGCGGTTCGGGTGGGGCGGGCGGGCCTGGCGCGGGCGGCTGGAGAAGCTTGGCGGCTGCAGGGAAGCCGGCCAGATCGAAACCGGGAGGCGGGACTATGCCGGCAGCTGTTGCTGTGCCTTGAAGGTACGCTACGAGTCTGGAATGTACAGTTAGATATTATTTAAAAGAGTTACAGTTTATTATACTTAATACTTACATAATAAACTATTTCTCATCATCATTAGCATTGCGCCTCAGTGATCACGACGTTTGACATGATTGACATGACCCTACTCTACAGTGGTGCTATCCTGGTGAGTGCAAATGCGAAAGTCCTCTTACTGCTTCAGCGCTCACCTTTCTTATCTTACCAGTATTATTTAGTGGTTGGCTTTTAACATTTCTAAGCATTTTGCATTGTATCTGGAATCTGTTATGACGATTTGTAAGAACTATTTATTAGTCTAAACAAATAAAGAAATTTTGACTTTTGACTTTGACTTTGTTCGGTTAAGTACTCAAACGGTAACGTATTATTCGGTTATTTGTAGAAGTAAATCGGTGTTCATTGTTTTAGAGTATTGAGTTTTTTTTAAAGATTATTAGTAATTTGTATTGCACCAATTACTAATAGTCCCGTTACGCGTTAGCCCCTAGTGTTAAGCTAAATAAGCTTGTGTTACGAGTGGGCTCACCACAATAGTCGAGCGGCGGTGGGATTCGAACCCGCGTTCGTCGGATCTCGAGTCGGCCAGTCCGACCACTTCACCGTTGGGCTATCGTGGCTATAAATTTGGTTGACCGACCTTCGCAACTCCTCCAGCGCGCTGGCCTGCATGAGGATGTAGTTCTTGGCTAGAAGCAGCGTGGCGATCTTGGACAGCTTGCGGACTGACGGCGAGTGAGCGTAGGGGATTACGCCGCGGAGCTCGTCAAGGGCGTCGTTCTGGAATACCATTTGAGGTAAATTCAAGTTCATTCTTATTGTACGATCTATAGAATAAGATTGGTCAATGCAGATTTATGAAAAGTATTTTAACCCTTTTCAATCTCATTTAGACGTTTTGCGACGTAGTTTTGCCTATGAGTATTTGCCTCTTATTAGTCATCCTGTGTAGGCCTATATAGATAAATTCTCCTAACCCCATCGCCGTAGGTACTTTTACGACACTTTTTCCAACCTTAATTTTCTAGTGTACCTCCTCGCTACATAGATATTTCGGTGGTAGCATGGAAATAATAAACTTACCAAATCATGCATTCGTCGTCGTTCCCTGGCGTTGATGTTGAGCCGGACGGTTTTACCCTGGCGCATTTTTTGCTTTGATTTGCCATCTCCGATCGGCCTGAAATAATAATAAACATAGGAATTTAAAAAAATATATTATGGAGAAATAATGTGAGTTTTCTTTATAACAATTGTTGTCGTGGAAATAAACTGCTTGTCCTTGACTTGCGGCAAGTTCCGTATTTTTTACACATAATTAAAATTATCAGCTGAAAGAGTAAAATTATGTATTGTCTAGCACTTCTAAAATGTCAACTGGTTGAAATACGACATGTGTGTTCCCATTAAAGTCTCGTATACGGGATCAGGGTGCCATGGACCGCGACAAGTGCGAGCGAACAATGGCGGCCGTCGCTAACGAGCGGAGCGATGGGGTAGCCGCCCCAGGGGATTGTAGAGCTTTGATTTCATTACAGCCCGCCATGGTTTATTGAGATGATACACTATAGAACTTGTTATTGTACTTTTGGTTAGGTTTGGACTGGTTTAGCTTATTTTCAGTAAGTTGGGTTTTATGAGCACTTCTACATATCCCAAAGACTCTCCAAACATATGATTTTAAATAAGTAAAAAAACATCTTGTATGTCTATTGAATCGCGAGTTTTTTAAACATGACTTATAAAAATATAGGTAGTAGGTACATACTTAAAAATGAAGAGGAAATAAAAATAATATACACTTGTGAATCGTGTATTGAAATACTTTCTACGAGTAAGTTTCTACTAAACGATTGATTAAACGTTTACTTGACTGCACCCTACCGGGTCCGTTCGTTCTAAGCTCTACATTCGGAGCAGCAATACAAATCATGGTCAATGCAATGAATGGAACGCAGTTCACTTGCATAAGGGTTCGCCCCTGCACACATGTTCCCAAAGCTCATACTTATTTATTTGCTATTGCGACGACATGTGTGTTTCGCGTTATTTACAAACTTGTTTTATTTATATGATATTAGTAGGTTTCCCATTATCAGGGGATACAAGTATGTCCCTGCGAAATGGAAGTAGATAGTTACGTTAATACCTTTAGATTCACTTTACGTAACAAGAGAAAAAGTTTAAATTTTGAGTACTTAATGGCGACGTAAATTATGTAAACATTTTACGGTGGTAGTAAGTACTACAGCAAATTCAAACACTAAATGATAGTATCATAATTAATTTAAATTTAATTAGAATCATAGTTTGGAGTAGATTATTTACCTGTTTAGTTATCATCAACTTTAAATCTATTGAACATAGAGATTAAATTATGAGTTACTCATGAAATTGTGACCTTACAATCTGTTGAAAACAAAACATTGAAAATAGCTTCTATTTATAATGTTTGTAACTATTTGGCTCGTTTATCAAAGTTACTAAAATAGAGATTTGTTGAAAGGTAAATAGGAAGATACACAACAAAACGTAAGTATTTTTAGATCTAGTTTCCGTAAGCTTCTGTTCATAAATAAAAACTAAATTATTATGTAGTTTCGGATGTGTTTTCTTTCTCAATCTGTATAGTTATGACTTAAGAGCGCATGCGCAGACTCGATTGAAAACATCAACGTCATTAACATTCAATTTATGCAAAAATATGTAAAACGGAACAATGAATATTAGGTGTACGTAAGTTTTGATTTGAAAGAAGTTATGTTTAAAGTAGGTAAATTATGACTAGTTGCTTACCTCTGAGCATAGCTAGTTCCCGGCTCCGGCTGGTTTTCGTCAGTTGGGTAGCAATGCTGTGGCGGGGGCGGAGGCTGGCCGCCCTGCATGTAGAATCCTCCAAGGCCTACAGCCCCTAAAGGAGTTCTTCTGCCGGGCACCGACTGCGGCGGCGAATGCGACTCGCCGAGAGGCATTCCGTCCCATGTCCTGCGGCCTTCCATTTTTGAAAACTTAATACATTAAAAAAACTAAAACATCACTTTCTAAATTGAAATCAAAATAGTTTTTTTAATTCGTCCGCGCGTTAGCGTTTGGCACCGCATTGATAGACAGTGGAGAGTGTAATGGGAAGTAGTCGGTCCACGATCGATCGGAGCACGCAGCTGGGGCGCGCACCCCTCATCTCCATTGTGCGAGATGCGGCCGCCGCTGATACATGGGGCGCACTTAACTGGCGGCCGGCGATGATTGCTTTTCGATCGATCGTTAATTGGGTTGCTGGGATGCTGCCTTTTCATTTTAGGAATGTCATTTCGTTTATGTATTTAGTTTATCATCGTTTGTTAGTTAATGTAACAAAGCGTTCCAATACTATTTTTACTTGGAAGTCAGTTTTTTATGAGATATTGCTGCTCATGAATAATAAAAGGACAGTAATAAAGCTTTCAGACGTTCAGTAGTCTATAAAAACTTTGCCGCTATTATGGAGCACGTGCGGGTTATTGACTCATAAGATGTACCGCCAAAGTATACGGAAAAATGCAGTAACTTTTAAAGCAAATACCTACTTACAATTATATGTTCTAATATTTCAATGATTTTGTAAACAGATACAGTTTAGCAGAAAGGAAATAAGTACGCTTTTATTCAATTAACTTTCTGTTATTGAAATGTCCCTAATTTTTATGAGTTTGTTTTGAATAGGTAAAGCAAATGCTTTACCTATTCAAAACAAACTCGGCGGAAAGAATTAGTACAGATTGAAATCAATCTGTACCAATTCTTTCCGCCTACTTTTATTACTGAAAAGTAAGTCGGTCAATAACCTTCTCTTAGAAATTCAGCTACTGCCTGCCCTATACACTGTGCCGGTACTCAGTTCTATCTGAAAATAATTTATTTGACGGCCCGGCAAGTGGGTTAACTGAATGTTGCATAAACATCAGTGTTCATCATTCGTATCTAGATCGATGGCGATAATTTATTTGTCAGTGGTAATGGAAACGCCGTGTTTATCGTTTAACGAGCGGGGAAAGTTTGGAGAGAAAAATCGGTTCCAACAGGAAAGTAATAAGAAAAATCTTGCGATTATTTTTAAATGTGACGATATGGAGAAGTATTTCATGTGTCTATAAAAAATAATGGCAGGTTAAAACAGTACCTACAAACAAATTGAAATACGTAGGTATACCAAGTATGGTGAGAATGGGCAGGTGTAGGAGATCATTGATTAATTAATTGCTATCTCTGGTGATAATGAGCGAATTATAGCTTGTTGTGACCATTTAAATTATCAAGTTATTTCTCACTATTATATTTTTTTAACACTATTGTTTCTTTGAAATAACGTTTTATAGATTTTTAGACAATTGATTAAATTTTTTCAGAAATTCTTAACTCACTGTTTCGTTGTCATTAACACCTTCAAATTAAGTGATTTAAACGTGTATCAATTCGTTTATTCAAATCAATATCATTGTCTTTAGGGTTCGGGTAGCAGAAAAGAAAATTCAGTTTTATTATATTAAGAAATATTTATTCATATTAAAGCTAATCAATTCAAAATTATTTACAACTTAGATCCAATCAGTTCCGACTTCTTTTTAGTCCGCTTAACAATTTACATCTATTTATCATGTTTACATTTCCACCAACTTTACATTTGCTTTTTGATTTACTTTCAATTATACATTGTTGTTAAGAGTAACATCTAAACTTCAATGTTAGCGAACACTCACAAATTGTTACATTTTCACAATATCAATTTCCATTTTCCAGACAATTCCATAATACCTACAACATTATTTTTCAAATCATTGACATTTACACCAAATTGTCTTTTAAAATTTTAAATTTTCTTTCACACTGTAATTGTCTGAAATATTACCATGTAAGCAGTTTTTCAAGTCTTTACGATACCGGGCTATTACAAACATGAATATTTAAAGTATACTATTATTGGCACCAGTACTTACTCTACAGCTTAGGCTGAGTTGCACCACCTAACTTTGACCGTAACTATAACATTAACCGGTTTTTGTATGGAGTTTGACAGAAATTTGACGTTTGTCAAAGTTAAAATAAGATAGTGCAACCCACCCACCACCACCATTTTGTCAAATGAAAAATGTAGATACAGATTTTGTCCAATACTTGGTAACTGTATTTGTTAACGACCCCTTTTAACGTTCCTTGACAGATTCCCGAAACCTCCTCGTGTCTTTTCACAGCCCTTACCACTATGACTAGAAAACGACTTATTATATTCATGCGAAGTCGACAACACATAGCTATATTGTAGTGAACAGGTTCCTGATTTCTATGTTTCAAATATTTACTGCGGTGAATGTGCTCAACAGTTTTAAAATTGGTATCGTAGACACATTTGCCTCTGTAAATATTACACACACGAAACGAAATTCGTAGAACGTTTTTAACTTTTAACCATGACATTTATAATTTTATACAAACCTACCTAAATATTAAGGTAGGTACTATATTTGACGATAGAAATAGTTGAGGAGAGACTCGAAAACAGTCATAAATTTTTAAAGTTGGCGGATATCACGCTACTATACAATAGTTACAATGGCTTGCACGGTATTAATTACAAAGACTTGCTGAAAACAATTAGTGCCAAGCTTTCATTTACAAAATCATTCTGTCTTTGTCAATTATTTAAAGCAGATAGAATAAATCTGTAGTTATAGACCGTTCACATTAAACTGTTTTGTGTTGCGCGTTCAAAGTTAAATGTACTTTATGTAACACACATTTTGTTATAAAGAATCTTGAGAAATTTTGTGGATACGAAACACAAAATAATTGAATGAGAACTGCAGTTGCAAGCGGGTCTTAGAGATAAATATATTTACTAAATTATTTTTATATGTTGACGGATCCATTCAACTTTGTTTCATAACATAACACTAGGCGGATATCGACAGGACATTTACTGCGATGTATATGTATACAGGCTTGAATTGGCTTTAAATACCTATGTAAGAAGAAGTGAAGACATTACAATTATTTAATATTGGCATTTTCTACATACAATAACATTCTTGGTAAAGCTGTTACTTATTTCAAGTCAAATACTTCACGAATCATATTGGCGAAAGCTCATAATCCATGTGTGAAAACAAATGATAATTTTTATCATTTGCATAACAAACCGGAATTTTCTAGATAAACATTTGGATGTCTTAATAAATATGCAACAACGTTTTCTAATAGAAACAGTCGCAATATTTTACCAGAGCATAATATATGATAGCAATACCTAGCCTACTTGAGACTTAGTTTAATAATACTGTGTAAAAGTAGAAAAGTTGATATTAGAAACAATTAGGCCATACCGAAGGTACTTATCATTCCACTTTCCTTAACAACCTTTCGTTAGCTTATCCTGCTGCCAATATTGGCTCGGCCCAAGAAAGATAGATCAAAGATTTCATTAGACAAGTTTTAGTGTTGATCTAAACTGTAACATTATTAGAACTTTCATCATATAACGACAATATTTGACAACTAAAAGCTATTAAAAAGTGTTTCATCATCTCTTTGTTACACGTATTTGTAGAATATTATAATACAACAAAGTTCTAATAAATGTTCTATTTAGATCTACATAGTTCATCTCTTAAATATTGGCCAAATTCATTAATATTGATATACTCTTATGTATACTGAGTCAACAATAATTACAAGCTTACACATAAAATATTTCATGACAATAAACACATAATCTTTTGGCACTAATTAATAATAATAATTTGAGTATTAACTACTCACGAATATTCGTGATTCGTCATTTTATGCCAAGTGACAAGTACAGCAATTATTGTCTTAAGACTTACCTACTCAAATTCCCAAACACAGAAATATACTTAACCACATTTAACCAAATTAATACGCATAACTCCATTTAATGCAGCTGGAATTACATAACTACAACTTATGACTAGGATATTCTTTGGGGGTAATCTAATAAATATTAATTTGTAATGAGTCTATTCTACGGATTTTAGCTCGATACGAGATTGAATCCATTATGCGGATGTATGATGAGTAGTTTACATGTCAGCAGGTAAGTGCTCGGTGATTAGAAGCATGTGCGTCGCACGACTATCAGCTATCTCTAAGGGCATCTTACTTAGCTTGAAGTATGCGTCCGAAACTCAGGATTAAGACTAAATGTAGAACGCACTAGAACAGACATCTAAAATGACAGGAATATTGGAATATTCATCAATTTGGCGTTGGAAAGGGTAGACGTTCGAATGTTCTAATGAATCAATTGCACTTGTAAGAGCGTCTATCGCCGTTAGATGGCGGCTGAGAGCGTGTGGGCGGCGAACCGCGCGGGCATGGGCAGGCAGGCGAGCCACACCGCGCCGGCGCCGGCGAGGCATCAGCGCGCGCGGTGCGCGGGCGCCGCCGCCGGTCAGGGCGCCGCCGCCGCCAGCGGGGGCCGCGCGGGCGCCGGCACGCGGGGGCACGCCACTACCGATCCGCTGCGGTTGGCTTGGCTATTGTTTGCTGCTCCACCTGCAAGTGGAAATGATATTTGATTCATGTTTTCTACTTCACAGAAGACGTAAACATTTACTTTAATGTCCGCATATATTTTTAAAATTTTTTGCTACTTAATCTTACCAAAGTTCGGTAAAAAGCAGCATTAATAAAAAATCAAAAAAGCTTTGAACTTTACTTGAGTACGAGTAATTTCATTTCATAAGTTCTCGTAGTTACAGGGTCTGTCGTAGCTAAGCGCGTTCGTAGCTGCGCTACGCCGTAGCATAGTTTTATCTACGAAGGTGCTACGATAATGAACTTACGAAACTGCATAATGTAACTTATGGTTCAAATAAACGTTTTTATTATTTATTATTAAACTCTATTACTCGTAGTTACATAAGAAGTCCTATGTATAATTCTGTCTATTCTGGTAAAGTTTTACATTGTGATTAATGTTTCATCTAAGTTGGAAACATGAGCTATTAATTTTGTTTTACGCTAAAAGACTATCCACCAAAAGCTATATCTTACCCATAAGCGAGCCGAGCATCTTGGTAACGGAGAACTTGCGCGTGCGCTGCGGCGTGCGCACCTCAGCCAGCAATCGGTCCACAGCTCGGTAGAGGTCCCCCGAGTT